CAAATGCCCAAAACAGGCAGACAGGGCTGGGCCAGGCCAAAACCGGGAGCCCAGAACTTAATCAAGGTCTCCCACTGGATGACAGGGGCCTAAGTAGCTGGGCCACCACCTGCTGCCTCCCAGGGTCTGCATTAGCAAGGGGCTGGAAGTGGTACCTTGGGCTTGAAGCCAGACACTCTGGTATTGGATGCAGGAGTTCATTTTAATTTCTGGGCCAAATGCCCATCCCTATTTTTATTATGATCCCCAGTTCCCTGGAAAATTAGGATAATAATCTCTTTCTCTGAGAGCTGTTATGAAGATCAGTTGAAGCCATATTTGGCAATGCACTTTGCAAACTGCGAATCACGCTACAAATGTTCGTGCTCATTGTTATGATAATGCCACGAAAGGGGTCAGTGTATTATGAAAAGATTGTGTCTGATATTACTATTTTCAGACAGAAACAGTTGGCGTTGGAGTCCTGCTGTCATCTGAAAGGCAGTACCCGGAGTTCACATGGAGTGCTTTGGGTGCTCACCCAGGAATGGCGATCTTATCTTCCCAGTGTGGGCGGGGGCAGGCGGCTGGCTGGCAGTGTGCGGCTGATGTGCCATTAATAATTCACACAGGCACATGGTGTTATTCTGCAGGGCACCCTGCCCCTGGTAACTCATCAATAAAATATGGGGGCCAGTTGTTTGGAGCCCAGAGCCAATCCAAGAGCCACTTTCTCACTTGGAAATGTGACTGGCACAGGCTCCAGGGTGTCAGACAACCCCGTGGCCTGGAGTAAGAATCAGGGAAGAAAACAGGCTTCAACACCCTTCTCTTAGGGCATGCAGAAGGGCAGGGGATGTCCTGAAATCTGGTCAGCAGTGTTATTTATTCTGACCCTGGGGGAAATCCTCTCTCTGAGCCCGCAGGGGAGCTCAAAGGGGAGGTCTAGCAGCTGGAGGCCCCTCTACAAGGTGCCCACGCCACCCAGACCTTTGCCTGAGTGTTGAATCATCAGGGTGAAATGAAGCATTTTACAGTCCAAGAAGTAAACCCACTTGCTTTATTTTTGCTTAGTTATCATTTTTCATTATTAAGCTAACACATGCTCAGAAAGGAAGAATTTGCAAATACAGAAAAGTTAAAAAAAAGATTTAAGGACACAAAAACATTGCAGATGGCCACTATTTTGATAAAATCACTGTGTGTTTAGTAACAGCACAACCAGCAACATTTGAGTGCAGCCCAAGGCCAAGCTGGTAAGTGCTTTAAACGCATCCCTGCCTGTTATCTTCATAGCAGCCTCATCATGGGCGGAGGCCTGGCACTCTTGTAAGCATGGGACCAAAATCCAAAGAGCTCTAAAAGCCAAAGTTCATTTTTAATGAACAAGTGTGCCAGACTGTTCTTCTTGCTGTTCCATTTACACAGCCCATGCCTTGTAGGGAGTCTGCTAAGGCACCCAGCTTTCAACTTCGTTGAGTGGCTGTTATTGCCCCCATCACAGGGCTGGGCTTTCATGCTTGGGACAGGACTCCTGCCTGGGCCAGACCATCTGTCTTTGAATTTCAGCACCACTTTTTTCAGGTTGTGAGTTCTTAGGTGAGTTGCTCAAACTCTCCCTGTGGCAGTTCCCTGGTGTGTGAAATGGAGATGATAGCTTAGTGCTTGCTTCCAATGGGGAGCAGCTACACTCACGTGGTTCCCGAAGACAGAAGGAAGAAGGTAGCTGAAGAGGAACTTCTGGGCTCATGGTGATCTGTCTGGCGTTAAGGGATGGTGGCTCAGAAGGCAGCACCTGCTCAAACTCAGTCCTTGCAGGAATGAATGCTGCACACAGCCTTGCCTATCCTCGAAGCAGGACTGTGCTTGTCTCAGGGAGCCTGTATTCCCTACACAGGCTGGTCAGTGGCAGTAGGGGTGTGTCACTGGATCAGCCTCCCAGATTCCAAGCCAGGGAGGCAAGAGCTATTGAGAAAGCCTCCCTATCAGACCCAGAGACACTTAGACTCCACCAACCATACTCTCGTTCTCTTTGTGTTTCACCATTTTGGACACCTTTCCCTTTGCAAGAATTTGACCTTGACAAAACCTCCAGTCTCACTAGCAGAGTTAAGGGGAGAGGGGTGACGGTGAGGTTGAACATGTTTACCAATTATGCAGCTTCCTAGCAACTGCTTGCCATTTCAAGTCCTTTCAATAAATGAACTGAACAGAGCAAACTTGTAGGCAACTAGAAGCACACTTCTAATTTCACAAGGACTGTTTGCTTTTATTCACTCTGCGGACTATTACAAAGCCCATGAAGAGGCTTGTTTCTTAGGCATCCAACCACAGCCAGTTTGCTGGTTCTGTCTCTTGTCTTCTTGCTCTTGGTGTGGGAAGACTGCACACTTGCTGGTGCTGATGAGGGAGCTGATCTAGAAGGCAGGGACTCAGTGCTTTGGAGTTGGGTGAATTGGCACAGAGGCCAATTGATGGGGGTTCTTGGTGGTCTCATGGAGATTCCTGGTGCCATCCTGCCTCCTTGCTCCATGCTTTGATGGATCCCCAAAGGAAACCACACCTCCCAGGTCCAGTTTGGGATGTCAGAATGTGGTCCTGGGCATGATAACTGGACAGTTGTCCAGGGATTTTGTCCTGAATCCCAGCTTGGGGGATAGGAACAAAATCTGTCCTTGATAACCTCTGTTCCTGGAGCTGTATTCATCTGTCTGCTCACTGAAGTCTCTGCTGAACACTGTTCTTACTCTAGAGCAGACCAAGGCTTGATGATTCACAAGTTTTCTCTGCCTGTTAGGTATTACGATTTCATTGTCTGGCTGTCTTTACTGAGTCAGCCTCTTAATGTGGTGTTATTTATCAGGCTTCTGACCTACTTGGACTCACTCCCTACTTCCATCCTGTGGTTCCAGGTCTCTGCATTCCTTTAGTTTTTCCTTCTTTAAATGTCCTCAGCAGGTTGGACTGAGGCTTTTCCAGCCTGAGATTCTCTGAGTTTGTGTAGATTATAACAAGTCCAGCACTTGTGAAGGGCTTTTTAACATGACATCTTCTCCACAATTCTACTGGGGCTTCCTGTGTATTTTGGAGGCACACATGGTTTCCAAGAGCAAAAGGCGTTCCAAGCATGGTTCAACGTTCAAGGTCCTCCTGAACCTCAGCTCCCTCTTTGTGTAGGAGAATATGGTTTCACTCTGACCATCGGGGTCTGAGACAGGTATTTCCTTGCCAGCTTATCTACTGTGGATTTATTATTGGAGCCACTTATTTTTCCTTTTTCTTTTTTTAATGGGCTGCTATTCAGAGTCAAGAATTTAGAGTATGATTGGGGTTTCATTCTTCCTGTTCATTTCTTGAATGTTTTACCTCCAACAGTGCATTTACCAGAAGAGCTTAGTGTTTATAAACACGGACTTTGGGCTTGGACAGATGTTCATTCTTGATTGTATTGATAGAGGCACTACTACCCACTGCACTTCATTTCAGTTTTGTAAGGAAGCCCAGGAAGAACCCATGTCTCAAGTTCCCTTGCAGAGTAAGTGTGGAAGAACAGTAACATAGGCAACTTCCTGGCCAGGCATCTGAGACCTTCTGAGTTATTCTTTTCTCCCCTCCTTTCTTAAATTGGCTGGAGAGGACCTAACTGAGGACTGCAATGCCCCGGGAAGGAGGTTAGGCCCTGAGGTCACCGCATGGAGGACCCCTGCAGACATCCAAATGACTGTGAACAGAAGCTCGTCTTCCGCTGTGCCTAGCCACTGAGCTTGGGAGTTGCTTGTTGCAGCAGTCAGCTTTGATTCGACAACATGGTGCTGAAGCTAGCTCAGCATGTTGACTGTATGGTTTTGGGCAAATCCATTCGTTTTTGTGAGCTTTATCATCTGTATGAAACTTTTCTGCAGCCTGAGGGTTGTAAGAGGATAACTTAGAATGCAGTCTTCCCAGGAGACGGTGGATCTGCCTGCAGCAGCTAACCCGGTTCTAATATATCTGGATTGAACTCATGTCAGGGCTTTTGCGTTTGCTGCTCTCTCTGTTTAGGTCACTTTTCTCTCAGGTCCTGTGTGGTGCTTCCTTCTTTGTATTTAGGGTTGATCTTGTACATCATGTCCTTGAAGAAGCCTCCCCTGTGACGACAGTTAAGTCAGCATCCCTGCCTTCCCACTCATTATCCCAACTGTCCTACTTCACTTTCTTTATTGTATCTATCACTATCTGAAAGTAGATGACTTATATGTTGGTTTGTAAGCATATTGTCTGCTTTCTCACAACTAGAATGTCATCACCAAGAGGAAGACACTTCTGTTGGGTTTTTCTAAAACATGCAGGCACCAGCCTAGGCCAATATAAAATGCTCAGTGTACACTGGTTGAATGAATAGTACATACTGTGAGGATTACATGAGGTCATTATGTAAAGACTTTGACACTTGTCCTGGCATGACATGTGCTAAAAGCATGGAGATTGAACACGTGTTGTGGTATAGTGTGTTGGGCCACCACCTGGGATGTGTGCCTCCCATGTGGGAGTGCCATTTTGACTCCTGGCTACTCTGCTTGAGATCCGGCTTTCTCCTAATGCAGCTGTTAAGGCAGTGAATGTTGGACCAAATATTCAACCCCTGCTACCAATGTGAAGAACCAGGATGGAGCTTCTGGCACCTGAATTTGGCCTGGCTCAGCCATGGCTGTTATGGACTCTTGGAGAGTGGACCAATGAGTAGTCTCTCTGTCTCTCCCTCTTTCTCTGTCACTCTGCCTTACAAATAAATGAGTCTCTTAAAAAAATCATGAAACTTGTCATTGAATGTCTCGTTGTGCTAAGTCTCTGTTTTACAAGGCCTTTGTTCCCACGTAGCTGGGAGCCTCTCAAAGTCAGAAGCTTGCTCTTATGTATCTTGTTCCCCATAAACCTTGAACATGAGAGGTAGGCAATCAATGTGACTGAAGAGGACTTGGTGCATTCAAAGACCAACGAAACCATCCTTGTTCTAAAAAAAATTAAACCTTTTTATTAGTATATTTATTTTATATATAAAAGAAATACAAAAAAAAGAAACACAAAGAAAATGCATTTATGGCAAATCGGATTTGTCAGTGCCTTCAGCTTGGGCCCCAGGCTCCGGCCCAGTGGGAGTCAGCAAAGTCCGTCGGTTGTAATGGCCTTTGATGATCCCCGTGTTGTTGTTCTCATTGAGTAGCTGCTTCTGCCTTTGCCGGTTGAGGGACTGGACAAGGCCCAGAACGACTGCAGCCAAGGAGTACTGCCCGGGTAGTCTTCTTGGGGGCAAGATGAATGGGTTGGGTTGGACTCTTCCCAGGAGAAAGTACGTTTTGATTTTCCCTTCCTGTTCACTGATGCCTTTCACGTAGATCTCCCCTCGGTAGTCAAAGGCAAAGCCCTGGTCCTTGAGGATGAGATAGGTCTCCTCTGGCACTTGGATCCGTCCGCTCACCCCTGTGCTGTCCATTCGGCTGGCCAGGTTCACGGTTTTGCCCCAAATGTCATATTGAGGTTTCTTAGCGCCAATCACACCAGCAACCACTGAGCCATGGCTGATGCCTGTGAATGAACCAAAGGAGCAAGAGATAAGAGAGAGAAGAGTGACAGCAAAGGTCTGTTAAGGAGCTGTGGGTACAGTATGGGGTGGGTAAGGGGCAGTGGATGAGGCTGGCAAATTAGACACCAACCAGATTGGAGCAGCCTTCATTTGTGATCCTAAGGAGCGCTGGCTTTATCCTATAGGTAAAGGAGCGCTGGTAGATGTTGGCGTGGGTTGTAACTGGATCCAATGTGCGTCTCATGGAGACTTTCCCTTCTGCAGCAGTGAGGGGACAATGGAGGACACAGGAGGCCTGTCAGGAAGCCTGCACCATGAACTAGGAAGTGGTGCTGAGCACTTGCTCAGCTCTCAGAGCGCTGTGTTGGCAGAGGCAAGAGGAGGTGCCACAGAAATGACCCCTGCCAGCCACTTCACACTCTTCCTCTCTGTCTTTCTCTCTGCTCAGACGCTCACTTCCTCCCAATCCCAGAGTTTATTTGGTAAATTATTTTAAAGGCAGTTGCAAACAAATGCAAACGTCTCCTCTAGAAGTTAAAACATTTCACTAAATGTGTTAGCAAGCATGCATGTCTCCTGCTAGAGTTTCTTCATTCTGTAGTCATTGACTAAGCACCTGCTGTGTTCCAGATACTATCTGGGCATTGAGAATAGTCTGGAAAAGAAGAGAGATATAGCCAGCCCTCATGCAGTTTACATTCTGCTGGGGAGAGACAGAAAATAATAAAGAAAAAATAAATCAGGCTATAGGAGTAGACAAAGACGGGAGAAGGTGCATTTGGGAGTAAGGTAGTAAAGAAAGACCATTTAACCAGGTAGAGATTTGGGTAAGGTTGTTCTAGTCAGCAGTGAGAGCACCACACACACACACACACACACACGATATAAAGGACTAGAAACTTGCAAAACAGGCTATGGAACATATGGGAATCACAGTGATAGTTAACTCTTTAAAATTGCAGAGCAGTTTTTGACCATTATCACATTTTTTAAACATTTCTTTAAAATTTTTAAACTTATTTAATTGCAACATGGGGGGGCAGGAAGATGGAGGGAGAGAGAGAAAGAAAGAGAGAGAGGGAGGGAAAGTGCAATCATCCATCTGTTGATTCACTCCCCAAATGTCCACAACAGCCACGGCTGGGCTCTGGCAGGCTGAAGCCAGGAGCCAGGAGCTTAATCCAGGTGTCCTGCGTGGGTGGCAGAAACTCAACTGCTTTAGCCATCACCACTGCCCCCCAGGGTGCATGTAGCAGGAAGCTGGATCTGGGTGCTGAGCTGGGACTGGAACCCAGGCACTCTGATGTGCGACGCGGGATTCCCAAGTGGTGTCTTTACAGCTGTGCCAGACACCTCCCCCATTATTTCACGTGATCGTCATGTTCCTTCTGTGAGGAAGGCAGCCGGGGATGTAAAATAAAACAGCCAGCTCACACGCGAGGAAAGTGAGAGTCAGAGGGTTTGAATGCCTTGCTCAGAGTCACACAGCTGGTTAGAGCAGGTTCCGAAACACACACTGCGATGCCCAGTCCAACTGGAAAATTGATTTTCTAACCCTAGAGATTGATGAAGCTCTAGCAGCACTGCCACAGGTCACACCAAGGGTTGGCCCTGCTGTGGGCAACGTCTTCCGAGTTTGCTTAGAATGTCGCTCTGTGCAGGGTTAAAGATCGCTGTTCATTCCTGGGTCAGTTGTGTAGTCAATGATTTCAGAAGGGACAGGCAGGGTCGATGGGAGGCGTGGGAACAAGCCCTGAACGTCCCATCCGAGATCAGAAGCATGAACTATGGCTTCTTTTATTCCCAAGAACAAAGGCCCACAGCATTCCTCAGATCTGGCAAGGCAGATATTGGTATTTCTTGACCCCTTTTTTCTTGAAAGCTTCTAAGGAAGAACCGAATACAGCGGGGGTTCAGCAGTGACTGTTGCTCTAAATCACACCCTGGCTCGCTGTCAGAGGACTCTGGAGGTGCTGCGGGCACTGCCTGGCTGTGTGGTCTCAGGCCAGTTACTCCCCCTTCTGGGCCTGTGTCTAGTCATTTACACCCTGAGAATGTGGACAGAGGCTCCACGGAGAGGCAGAAGGACGCAGCACATTCCATGAACCATAAGAGATTTTTCATTTGCAGTGATAGTGGTGCTGCTGCTTTGCACAGAGGTGTCTGTGGGCCCACAGCAGGTGAGCTGAGGCTGAGTAAGGGGCTGGACAGCTCGCTGCCTGTCCCTGGGTCAGTATGAGTAGAATCCTGCTTTTGCCTGGAGGCAGTTTCTAGCAGAACCGGAGAGCAATACATGAAGTGATGCAGAAGTCAGAACTAAATGACTGCACTGTGGAAGGGATAGTGGACAGGCAAGTTGGAAGAGAGGTCACCACAGTCTGTGCTTGCTAATGACGGGCTGGTTTGTGTTTCTGCACACGGGTCAGTGTCCTTGCCTGGCTTCCAGAGTCTTACTTGAGAGAAAGCACAGGAAGGCCTGAGCTGACCCTGTCCCTGTCCTTGGCAGGGCCACACCGAGCCTATTGCAGTTTGTAGGAAAATGCTTCCCTGGGTTAATGTCCCAGGCATGGGAGGAGCTGAGGGAGCAAGGCCAGCCAGCTCCACACACTCACACTTGCCAGTTTTACCAGCTGCTACTCACCGATCCGGAGTTCAAAATTGTTGAAGGAATGCTTGTTGATCTCCTGTATGCTTTCAGTGAGGGCGAGAGAGAAGTCGGCCAGGGCACACAAATGTCCCCACTTGTCTTCACATTGCTGGAGCAAATAGGAGAGGAAATTCATTTAATGTGGCTGTCAGTGGCATTTCTGAGGCAGGGGCTTTATGTCATAATCCCACCTGCTCAGCCCTCAGCAGGAAATAACCCGTGTGTGAGCCTTTGTACCCTCAAGTCATGGGTATTCCAGAAATACAGGATTGCATGAGATTTTCTTATAAGAATGTGTAGGGGTGGGCCACCATATACCTTCCCTTCCCTACATTTATCTGAATCTCATGAATTCCTGAGTGTGTTCACTGATTGGCACGTGCCCACATGCATGTACCTATGCCTTTATGCGTAGCTTTTCCAGGCCAGGAATCATGCCTATAGCCTGTGAATTACTCACAGCATCCGTTTGAGGGATGTTTCACATAGACAGTTGCTCTCCAAACCCCTGAGTAAGTGCAGAATAAGCTTCTGTGCCTCTCTGAACCTTAGTTTCCAAATCTATAAAATGAGTATAAGAAAACTTGCCCTCTCTACTCTCAGGACTGGATGAGATGATGTTGGTGAGAGAACTTGGCATTCCTGTAGAGCAGAGGGTGGTAGCCAGTTTCAGTAAAAGGCCAGGTAGCAAAAATTCTCATCTTTGTCATGAATATTCAACACTGCCCATGTAGTTTGAAAGGGGCAATAGGCAAAATACAAATAAATGGGCGTGGCTATGTATCAATAAAGACTTAATTACAAAGTCAGATGGGAGAGTCACATTTGATGTGTGGGCCATAATTTTATGAATGCCACTGTTGTGTGCCCCACACATGTACCAAATTACCAGCATGACTTTCTTCCCATGTACTCTCTCTATGAGTTTTTTTAGGGTTTTTTTTTTTTTTTTTTTTTTTTTTGACAGGCAGAGTGGACAGTGAGAGAGAGAGACAGAGAGAGAAAGGTCTTCCTTTGCCGTTGGTTCACCCTCCAATGGCCGCCGCTGCGGCCGGCGCACCGCGCTGATCCGATGGCAGGAGCCAGGAGCCAGGTGCTTTTCCTGGTCTCCCATGGGGTGCAGGGCCCAAGCACTTGGGCCATCCTCCACTGCACTCCCAGGCCACAGCAGAGAGCTGGCCTGGAAGAGGGGGAATCCAGACAGAATCCGGCGCCCCGACCGGGACTAGAACCCGGTGTGCCGGCGCCGCAAGGTGGAGGATTAGCCTATTGAGCCACGGCGCCGGCCCTTTTTTAGGGTTTTGGTTGGGAAGAAAGTACAGGAAGGATGAGATGAAAATAATGAGGATTTCATCTCCCAGAGGAATTTGGACTTGTATTCATTTAATTTTGAGGATGTACGCGGTGCAAGGCTTTGTGTGGGGACATGGCATTATCTCAGGCAATTTGTGCATCAGCTGTGGAGTGTCCTTATTTAACACGAGTGCCTGGCACACGGTCAACACTCCCAAAGGCAGAAGCTGTTATTATTGGTACATACAACCTCTGAAGGCAAAAGCAAAAACAAGAAAAGAGGCTAGTATAAGGGCTTCAGTAACATCCCTAACTAATTTATTACCAGGGTATTTCTTAGATCTGATTTTGTTCAAGTGAACGGAGAGTGAGGCTCAGAACCAACCTAAACGCTTCTCAATAAAGTCATGTTGTTTCATCCAGGAGACTCTATCTGCCTTGGAGCAAACGTACATCACACGACCATTATGATCCAATTCTGAGGATTTTCTCCTCACTGTTCCCCAAGTCTCTTGGTGATGGTGATGTAACCACTTCCAGTGACAAGATCGTGGGGTCCCGGGCAAAGTCTGTGATTGATTCCAGAGTCCTTTACCTGTTTTTCTGGTGACAGGCCTGACACGGCCATGTAAGTGCTGCCAATGGTTTTGATCTTTTCAATGTCCTGGAACCGGTCTTCACCAAGCAACTGAAACAGACACAAGTAACACTCTTAGTCCTGGGGCTGATTCCTCTAGGAGGCTGGGGGCTGCTGATACAGGCCCTTGGCTCACCACGAAGATCGAATTCTAATGGTTTAGCATCCTTAAGGTAGCTGCTTGTCTCTCTGAGGATCATGAGATCATGCATTCTGTCACTACGTATATTTATTGAACAACTGCTAACCACCAGCAGCCACAGTCTTTAGGGAGTAAATCTGTTTGTATGAATCTTTGAAATAAGCAAAGCTATTTGATCAGCTTAAAGAAGGAATCACAAATGTTCCCCAATCCATCGAGAAGACTTTGTGGCTTTGCTGTCGCAATGTACTCTGCACTCTGCGGCTTCTCAGCACTTCTCTGCACACTGTTAGCCTTCAGTCCTCTGCGATAACTTGTCTCTTCCTGCTCTCACCTCCTCACTCCCAACACGGCGGCCAAGGCGACCCATTCACACGGAGTCAGCCCACGGCCCTGCTCTGTGCTAACCTCTCCTGTGGCTTTCTGTGATTTTCAGGTCAATGCCAGTCTTTCCTGTGACCTGAAAGGCTTGACACGTCCTGCCTCCTCCTGTGTCACTCTGCCCTTTGCCCTGGTCACCCAAGAGCCAAGCAGTCCTGGTGTGCCTCAGGAACCTTGCATTTACTGCTCCCCTGTTGGATTGCTCTTCCCTGAGACTACTGCTTGCTCTCCTCCCTCATCTCCTTCAGGTGTTTCCTGTCTTTTTGGTCACTGCGTCTAAAATTGAACACAGTGTCCCATCCTCGCAAACATAGTCTTATCTTCTATTCCTCTCCTATCTTCCTTCTCCAGCATCTCTCCCTGGCTTTGCTTATTCACCATCATCTTCCCCACCGGAATGGAAGATTCCTGGGGCAGGCAGTTTTGCCTGCTGTGTCAGTGACTACGCTTCTACACAGAGCCGAGAGAGACAGTGTACTCTTTGGTGTTTCTTCTTGCAAGAATACTAGTTCTGTATGATCAGGGCTCCACCTGTATGATCTCATTTGACGATAATTATCTCTGCATGGGTCCTGTTTTCAAACAGTCACACTGGGAGTTAGGGCTTCAACATGGATTTTGGGAAAGGAAACAATTCAGTTCTGGGCACAAAGATCAGTCTGAAGTATTTTCTGATCTTCGCATTTACGGTTGAATGACCCAGATTTATTTTCATCTTGTAGATGAGTAAACTGAGACACACAAAGGGATTAAATACTTTGCTTAAGCACATGGAATGAGAAAATGACCGAGTTATGTTATTTCAAATGCTCTCTTGATAACATTAAATTTAGAATCCCAATGTAGCTTATATTTTCAAGACATAAATGAAAAATTTTAAGAGATTAAAAGGCAGACCAGAAGAGGTAATGACCACGTCCACTGGGGCACTGATCTAAGGACGCCACCTCTGTCTCTTATTTGTTCTTCACAGCAGCTTTTTGCGCCCAGCGTTCTTCACTCCATTTAGCTGATGTATAAGCAGGGATCCAACATGGTCGAATAACATGTTCTAAGGCTTCAGGGTGAGAAAGGGGAGGCAGGGCCAGCTGCAGAGTGTACAGGGTCTGGGGCAAAGCGAGATGTGGAAGCCCTTAAGAATTATACAGTGGTGATAGCAGACAATAAGCCAAGAGCTACAAGTCCCTTGTAGCTGCCCAAATCACATGCCCATGACACTGGCCTTGAGCAGAAGAGCTACATCCAAAACAAAACCTCCCTGGCTCCCACATCTAAATTCTGGCCTCTTGTTTCCCCACTGTTGGCAGCAATCTGTGTGCAATCTCTTTGCCTCCCTTTAGTACTGTAATAAATGCAGGGTCTCATGTCGACCCGAGGGTGGACAAAGAGATGAGCCTGAGTGAGAGAAGACAAGCTATTTATGGGCTGTCTTGCTATAGGCAACAAAATTTGGAAAATTCCTGCTTCAGAGAAACTCTTGCTGGAACGTGCAGAACACAGGCAGGTGTTTTATAGTGATTGGCTGTGTGTGTGTGTCTAGCTTGATTTGCACTGGAGGCATCTTTGTCCATTATTTTATGTTTCTCTAATTAAAATGAAGCTCCCTTTCTTGCTGTTGCTGAGATTCTTCAAATGTGTCCAGGGTACGCAGGTCCCCAGCGTTGGGTATCTGGCATTTATCTTCAGACACCACAACAGGTTTGGTCTTTCAGCACAGCCCTCAGCTGCCATTATTTTAGCTTGAAGATCTTGGGATAGGTTGCCCACCTCTGCCTGCACACAATTTCACATCTGCAGCTTTCAGTTGTCTGTGGGCTGACATGGCCCTGTAGGGAGTGGGGACCCTTCCAACTTTCCTTCTCTTATGAATTACTTGGCAAACAACTAATTTCAGGTCCAGGCAGAGCTGTCCCTCTGAAAAGTCAACTTGAAGGTAGCAAAATACTTCATTATTTCATTTACTATCTATGTAACAACTTTACCTGCACTACAACTGATAAGAGGCACAGTGGGGTCTTGAGTCAACCCCTTGATGAATCCACGAGTGTGCATAGGGACCTGAGATGGGAAAAGGCCCTTTGTCGACCCTTCCTCAGGCCGGGCCAGTGGGATGAGTAGCCTGGTGTTGGCTTGCTGCACGCAGACTTGCAGAGGGTGCTCTGTGAATGGGTAACTCCTCTGAGCCAAGAGGGCATTTCACAGGATTTGAGACTCCTGTGGAAACCACATCAATAAGAGCAACATCCTTACTAAAGTGAGGACCACATATCTGGCTGGAGTTCAACCAGGAAAAATCTATAAGGCCCATCTTGACCCGAAAAAGGGCCTGTGTGGGTGTCCCCAGCATCCACAAGAGGAAGCTGGGTGCTTGGGAGTGGCAAGTCAAGAAATCCGTTTTTCCCATTGACTACATTCCCTTCCACCCTTCCTCCTCATCTGTCTTCCTCTACCACTTTCTCTCCCTTCACTTCTCTTTTCTCTCTCCTCCTCATCCCTGCCTCTCCTCTCCCTCCCTTTTGTAAGACAGCCTTCTGGACCGATGCCCTCAGCTGTGACTTCTCTCTGCAAACACTCATCTATGGCAGTAGAGGTGCTGCCCTCCTTTGCTTTGGGAAGACACCAGAGTGTCTACAGTTTGGTTTGTCAAGATGCAAATTTAGTTCAAACTTTATTACAATTTAAAAAGACACTAGTGAGCACTGTTGAGAATGGTTATAGAGTTTAAAATACAACAAAGCTTGATGTCTCTGCCATTAGTTTTAATAGAGTTACTTTTAAATGTGGAAGTGTGTTTTGGACCACACTAGCCCATTGTCACCTCACTATTTGCAACCAGGGTTCCATCTCCTCCTCTTAGTTACTTGGTTAACTAATTCCTCTGGGGAATACTTAGCAAACACCTGCTATGTGCATTTATTCTGTGCTAGGCCCCAGAGACACAATAAGATAAAAAGGAGTGTGGTTTCTATCTTCATTAGCATTTGGCCTAGCATGAAGGGCAGGCGTTGAAGATGCTCTTACCATGTTCTCTCTCCCCTCTCCACATTGCAAGGCCCCCTGCACCAGTGCAGGATCAGTGACTTCTTGCAGAAAAGCAACTTACAGTCAACCTGCCTCCCTTTGCATGGTAAAACCATGGGAGGCAAGGATGGATTGTGTTTTTTTTTTTTTTTTTGGACAGGCAGAGTGGACAGTGAGAGAGAGAAAGATCTTCCTTTGCCGTTGGTTCACCCTCCAATGGCCGCCGTGGCCGGTGCGCTGCGGCCGGCGCACCGTGCTGATCTGAAGCCAGGAGCCAGGTGCTTCTCCTGGTCTCTCATGTGGGTGCAGAGCCCAAGCACTTGGGCCATCCTCCACTGCAATCCCGGGCCACAGTACAGAGCTGGCCTGGAAGAGGGGCAACCAGGACAGAATCCGGTGCCCTGACCGGGGCTAGAACCCGGTGTGCCGGCGCTGCAGGCAGAGGATTAGTCTATTGAGCCATGGTGCCGGCTGGATTGTGTTTTTTTATCTTGGTCCCCACACTCCTCCCTAGGATGACTAAAATAGCCATTGCTGAGATTAGGACTTTAATGCAACCACATGAGATGCCACCAAGTGGGAAGCAGTGTAACATAATGATTAAAACAGTATGACATACATGGTTCAAATCTTGGCTTTGCCATTTAGTGCTGTGTGACCATGAGCACTCCCAGTATCTCTGAGTCTGTTTTGCTTATTTATAAAACATAGACCATTAATTCCTGTGCTGTGTGTTTCATGTGAGAGATAAATAGCAATTAAATGGTAAGAACAGTTAGGAGATGACTGCAGTGATTCAGGTGAGATATGATATGGGTTGAGGCGAGGCAAGGGCAGCACTAATGCTGGGAGTGGACCAGGTCCTGAGAGATCCAGACAAGGGTGATGGGATGTTTGTACGGCCATGTGCACAGCAGCTACCCACAGTTGCCAAAACACGAACTTAGATTTGCACTGGATTGATGGGACTCTCCCTGCTGGAAATGCCTGGGAGGTATACTTCTACAGGACCTCTCACAGCCACACGGACTGACTGGTACAGGTATTCAAAAGCCTGGCCCCCTTGCCCCAGTGGCCCCGGTGTGAGACAGTTGTGCCATCCATGTTCTGAGTCCTGGTGGGATCAGAATTTGGCCACAACACAGATGAGCCCGTGTCTTCGCTTGGATTCTTCCCTAGCATTTTCTCAGTAAATCACCTGATTCCCACTTCAGGCTCTGCCAATTGGATGGACACTGTGTCCTTCTTCCAGATGGCGTGGGGGATGGGAAGGCCCACTCCTGTCAAGTTTGTTCATGTAACTGAGGAGCAGCACAAGCATTTTCCCTCATATTATGGATTCATAACTCATGGAGGCTGGAGTAAGAAACTGATAATTGTTAGTGTTAGTTCTCTGACACAGTGCTAACTGCCTGGTTTCTTTATTTTTATTTTTATTTGACAGGTAGAGTTATAGACAGTGAGAGAGAGACAGAGAGAAAGGTCTTCCTTCTGTTGGTTCACTCCCCTAATGGCTGCTACGGCCGGCGCTGCACTGATCCGAAGCCAGGAGCCAGGTACTTCCACCTGGTCTCCCAAGCAGGTGCAGCACTTCTGGGCCACAGCAGAGCTGGACTGGAAGAGGAGCAACCGGGACTAGAACCCCGGGGTACTGGTGCTGCAGGCGGAGTATCAGCCATGTGAGCCATGGCGCCAGCCGCCTGTTTTATCTTTGACACATTGTCTTTTTATTTTTGATAAAGATTAGCTTATTTATTTGAACGGCAGAAATATAGAGAGAAGGAGGAAGAGAAAGAGAGAGCAAGAGAGAGTGAGAGTGAGAGCGAGAGAGAGAGAGAGAGAGCGAGAGAATTTTCCATCCGCTACTCTCCAATGGCCACTATGGCCAGGGATGGGTCAGGCCAAAGCCAAGAGTCAGGAGATTCTGCTGCTTTTCCTAGGTGCATTAGCAGGGAGCTGCGTAAGAAGTGGAGCAGCAGGGTGTGTGTGTGTGGTGGGGGGCAGGGAGAGAGGTTAGGTTGGGACTATGGGGTAGAAGGTTAAGCCTCCACCTGCAGTGCCGGCATCCCATATGCATGCTGGTTGAGTCCTGACTGCTCATTCCCAATCCAGCTCCCTGCTAGCACACCTGGGAAGGCAGTGGAGGGTGGATCAAGTGCTTGGGCCCTGGCACCCATGTGGGAGACCTGGAAGAAGCTCCTGGCTCCTGGGTTTAGCCTGGCCCCACACCAACTGTTGCAGCCATTTGGGGAGTAAACCAGTGGATGGAAGATCTCTCTCTCCTTCTCTCTCTGAATTTCTGCCTTTCAAATAAATAAATAAATAAAATCTTAGAAACAAGAAGTGGAACACCTGGGATTTGAATCAGTGCCTATATGGGATGCCGACACTTCAGGCAGTGGCTTTACCCACTATGCTACATCGTTGGCCCCATCTGTGGCACTTTGAATAAAAGGAGAAATGTCCCCATTGGCATCCAGTGCCTCTGTGATGCCAGTGCCTCAGAGAGTCCCCCTCATCAGATTCTGGTTTTGCTATTCGCTAGTTGTTTGACACTGGGTTAAGTTACCTAGTCTGAGGCTTACAGTCCTTTATCACAAAATAGAGAAACAACAGCATATATTTTAGATGCTAATTGTGATAATTAGAATGGATGATACATGTCTGTGTTTATAATGCAGTTTGAAATTCCATAAGTGCAGAAAAGTGGCCAATCTCCCAATGAGTAACATAGTACTATGACAATCAGGATGTGCATTTGTGATTGTATATTTCTGAGGGTTATCTTTACCTCATCGAAGTCAGCAATGATCTCATTCAGCAACCGTAGGCATTCCACTCCCTGGTTATTCATTTCAGTCTGAGAGTAAAAGTCTGCAAATCCTGGGATGGAGGCAAACATCACCCCAACGGCATCATAGGATTGAGAGTACAGTTCCTATATAGGGAGACACAGAGAGAGCACCACAGACCACCATCAGGTTCTGCAGTAGTGCTAATTGGATGTACAGTACATATATACATGTATGGGTGCTTACCAAAGAACAGAAAGTGGGAGCTGTGACACCATTATATCAACACCATATGTCTCAGTCTATTATGGCTGCTATAATGAAATAACTTAGACTGAGGGGTTTATAACAACAGACACACATTTCTCACAGTTCTGGAGACTGACAAATCCAAGATCAAGATGTTGGCACATTTGGTGTCCAGTGAAGGCTCACTCCCTTGTTCACTAATGATGTTGACCTCAAATAGTGGGAGGGGCAAGGCAGGTTTCTGGGGCAGCTTTTATAAAGGCACTAACTATTTTTACAAGGGATTTACCCTATGACCCAATTACCCCCCAAATGCCTTGCCTCCTAATGCTATCACCTTAGGATTAGCTTGTGAACATATGGATTTTGGAGGGACTTAAATACTGAATTTATTGTACCATATAGACAGCATCATTACTCTATCATTTGAGATGATAAAAAATTCTTGGTCTCCAGCCTCAGCTGGGTCCTGAATTCTGACTGCCCATTTATTTGTCCTTGGTTAGCTTCCTTTTTCGCTCTCCTCGGTGGTTTGGCCCAAACTCTGGCTAATTTCCTTGACTTAACCCTCTCCTCTATTCCGCTTGGTAGATTACCTTTTGCCCACTTCATTGAGATAATGGTGGTTCAGACCCCTGCTCATGTTCATGTTCATTTTCACCTCATTTATTATGACTCTAGATGATGTATTTTTCTTTCTCATACTCAAGGCCAAGGCGTCTGAGTCCTTGATCCCCTTATAATTGAAGAGATTATTGCCTCAACAATCCTTTCCTATCATTTCTCTTTTTGCCCTCTTTCTCTGCTCCTCCTTCTCTTAAGCATGTCTTCTAGGAAGAACAATGCTCCCAATACATAAACTTCTCAAGCTAGTTTCTTTACTGCCCCTCTCCACTCTCTCAATGCCTGTCACATCTCAGGCTGGAAAGAAATGAATCAAGAGTATGCAAGCATGCCAGTTGAAGTGGAAAGATCAATGCACATATGTCTGTTTATCTCCTACTAAATGCCTTTGCAGATTTCTTTATTGATCACTCTCAGGAGCTCAATCCTCTTGACTTTCTGTGTTTTAGAAATGTCCTTTGTTATTTGTAGCTTGACTCCTTAAATGATGCATATTATTTTGGTTTATCTTCTGCCTTCAATGTTTATAACTGTTATGGTTCTGTCCTTGACACAACACGTGTTTCAAATACTTACCTGGTCCCTCTAATTCAGTATCAGCCTTATGATATCAACACTTATGTGCTGACAGTTTCTAAATTTCGATCTTCAGGTCAGTTCTCCTTGGGCTTCCAAATTCCCTGTCTCATGCTTGGCTCTCCCCACCCTCCTAAGCTTGCATATGCTATCAGATCACCTCTCCAACTTGCACCCATGCTTGCTTCTTCATTCTCTACTTCAGCTGGTGGCTCCAGAGTTGTCAAATCATCCACATGAGAGATCCTCAAAGTCACCTTGGATTCCTTTCTCCCATCACATTCAAACTCAGAAAATCACCAGGTCCTGGAGGATTTTTCTCCTAGACACTTTTTTCTAATCTTTCTACCATTATTAGACTCTCCTCATTCTCCTACTAGACCACTACTGTAAGAACCTCCTTCTGAGTTCTTTGTTCCATTTAAAACCTCTGTCCACAAGCAAGCCAGAGAAATCTTTTATATATACATTGAGCATGTCTCTCCCCTTCTTAAAACTCTTCAATGTCTCACCCTTATTGCCAGGATAAAGATCAAACACTGCAGCATGACATATATTCATGCCCTCACCACCCATCTCTTCATTCTCATCGCCTGAAATTCCCCAAGTTGGACCTTGTTTTGCAGAAACACCAAGGCATTTGCACTGCTATGTGCATGCTGTAGCAGATGCTGGAGGAGCCTTGGCTGTCTTCTCTCACTCAAGGGTCAACAGTACTACTGTTTCTTTGTTGGAGTTTGTCTCCGGCCAGTAGAGGGCACTCTGCCCTTGTGAACAGCAGGCTGCATGCACAGGAAATCAAACTTCTCAGGAGCTGTCTTCAGTTAGTGATGATGTGAATTCATGGATATTACCAGCTCCTTCACCCATGGGCCAGTCAACTTTGAGATGTGCTTGTATACCATTTCCCCAGATTCTATAGTAGGAGTAAATTCCAGTTGCCCACAGAGGTAATGGCCTGATACTATGTCATTTATCGGTAGCTTTCCTTCTCTGCCTTCTTTTGCTCTCTCCTACCTACCCTTGCTTCCTGCGAACATCTCCAAGTAAATTATTTATACCCAAATCCTTGTCTCAAGGTTTGCTTCCGGAAGAAGCTAAAGACAGAAACATTTAAATACTTAAATGTTCTGTTTCACACTTACATGTTTTAGCTTCTACTGTCTATCCCTTCGTGGGGCAATCCTTTGTATCCTGAGTTTATCTTCCTTAACCAGGCTCATCCTTGTTTTTTGCTTTCCTAACCATTTAGAGACATTGTCTTCCATAAACCTTTCCAGACTCAAATTGGGTGGAGAGGTTGAGCTGAGCGCTATTGTAGCTCCCTGAGCCACCCTACCATAAACTCCCTGCCATCATTGCTACTGTCCTAATGTACATCTTTTCCATTAAATGTGGACTCCATGAGAGCCAAGACCAAATGCCATTCATCTCATGCATTCAAATTTTACAATGATTTTGGATACTGGAAATTAAGCACACACTCTCTGTAAGGTCTGTTCTAAAGTAAGCACTCAAAGCTGCTCAATTAATTACTCTCTGGTCTTTGGGAGAACTCCAAAGCTTAAAAGGTGCTTCCATATGAATTCAATGATTTTATCTTTGAAACAATTGTGATATATCACAATTGTGACTTCCACTTTACAGATAAGGAAAATTAAACAGAGTTGAGTCAGATTATTGATTTGGAACACATAGGTTGTAGTGGAACAGACAGGGTTAGGGGACTCCCAGGACCTTCCCCACTCTACACATATGTGTGTAGCTTGTCTATCTGTCAGGCCCCAGGTCTAAGAAAAGTGAGGTACTGACTCATGGTCAACTGGTCTTGAGCTTTAAGTGTAGATGAATGTGCCTTCTCTAGTCCTTGTCCCAAAGGGTACAGGTATCTCATGATGGCCTCAGTGAGACTGGATTGGAGTGTTATGGGGGAAGTATAGATCATAGCCAAAGAGAAGGGCAATGGCAGATGGCTTTCTAAGGGAGGGCCCTGTTCACCTTGTCCTTGAACAGTGTAAAGATGCTACTGAAGAAGCCCGATGCCCTTTGATGAGTCACAGTACCCATGCATATAACATAAGCTTACAGTATCACATCCTCTTAAAGGCTGTAATTTGAGAAAATGCCTTGGTTTACTCTGTTACCTATAAATTTAATTTTCTGGGGCTGCCATACCAAAATACCACAGACTGAGTGGACAACTAAAATAAATTTTCTCACAAATCTGGAGGTAGAAGTTCGAGGTCAACCTTGGCAGGGCTGGTGACTTCTGTGGTCTCTTCTCCTTGGCTTGAATGTGACAATTGTCTTTCAAGTCTTCATGTGGTCTTCCTTCCAGTATATGTCTGTATCCTATACTCCTTTTATACAGAAGCCAGTTGCACGGAATTGGGGCCCATCTTAATGATCTCTTTTCAACTTAATTGTCTCTTTAAAGACAATGTCTCCAAATACAGTCACATTGTAAGATTCTTGGGGTTAGGGCTTCAACATATGCATTTTTGGGAGACACAATTTAGTCCATAGCATCTAAATTTATATTTCTAATTTATGCTTAAAAATAGAGAAAATTCTTCCTTCTAAAATATATTCCATAATTACATCATCCAATTCCCCACCCACTTCAGTTTATGGCTTGCAATATAAATGTCTCTTTGAGATAAAGTGGCCAATCAGCAGGAGTTTTTAAACAACTGTCTAACTACCTGAGTGTTCTAACAAGTCCTAGTTCCTTCTATATTGTTCTCTTTAGCCTTCTATTTCTGAGCCTTGCAAATACCTAGAATGTTTTGATGGCTGAGATAATAAAATAATAATAATTATATTAGTTACTTTCATTGAGCACTTAGCATGTGCCGGACACAAAACAGAATGTTGCATATGCATCATCTTATTTAATGCCCACAATGACCTCATGAGAAAGATAAAATTAAGATCCTTATTTTAACCTATGAGAAGACTTAGAGGTTAAGTATTTCATCCAAGTCCTATAGTCCTTAAGTGCTGGAGTTGGAATTTATACAAAAACAGGCTGACTCCAGAGCCCTTGCTATTGCTAATAATAATAATAGCCATAACAACAATGACAACAACACAATGATAAGCAGCAATTTTATTGGATCTAGAAACTGGTTCTGGTTCAACTGTCTGAGTGGTTGTTTGATTTGATTTCAGAGGGACCCATAGTAGAAAGAGCACTGAACTTGAGGAAATATGGCCTGATCTTCACTCTGTTGTCTTCTATCAGAGGTTGAAGAGGTGGAAATAGGGTGAACTGAGACTCACACTTCTCCTCTGTGTCAGATGCCAACTGATAGAGGGAATAGTCCAAAGGGACCAGTGGCTAATTCAAGACCAATCCCACAAACACAGACTCTCTAGGAACAATGGGCTGGACAACCTGGCTTGGAAACAAGACCAGAGTGGGACCCTCTTGATTCTTACCATGAGACAGAGCTGGGTTGACTTGGCTGACCCACCTATTGGCAGGCAGGGAGCCTGTAGAATGGAGGTCTCCATATTCATGGGGTCAGCATAGAGGTATCTGTGCTACTGGGCTTCCTACATGGGAGGAGAAAGCCTGTTCATCTTGTACACAAACAGATCCATAAGGAGATAAGACAGCCTGAGTTACTCATGGGCCTTCAGCACAGTGGCTTCCACTAGTGACTCATGTTCCAGTGACTCTGGCTTTCCC